ACTCTTTATGCCAGGTCATGTTTTTATCTTCTGTTATTTTAACTTCTCATTTGTAGCTAAGGTAATTACTTTTTGAGTTGTGTCCTTGGGCTTGACCCAAAATTTGTGTTTGTTTTATTTTGTTCTTTTCTGGAAATAGGTAGGACATTAGAAAGACAGCTGTGCTTGGTTCCTTTATGGACCAAAAGTGATGTCAGCCAGCTGGTCACTTGGACATGGCTTTCTCAGTGGCCACGGTAGCTTTCCTGTCCCTTTTATTGCTGCTGTTTTCCTCTTCTCACTTTTTTCTCTCCTGTCATGGCATACCTAGATGAGGCCACCTGTTACCTGTGTCTCTTTCTTACCTCACCACATAGCAGGTGGCAGGGCTGATGATAGTAGGCAGAAGGGGATAGAGAAAGAAATGGCGAGCCTTGTCCAAGCTGCATTTTCTTCACCCCAAAACACTTTCTCTCCACCTTCTCACCACATGGCTTCATGCCCGTCCACCCAGCTGGTCACCGTTTGATCACATTGGAATAAACAGCTCAACGCTGATTTGCGCTTTTCCCCTGGTAGGAAGATACCCCTGTGTCATAGGCATCAAGTGTACTCTGAAGATATGACATTATGCCACGTGAAATAAGCCAGACACAGAAAGACAGATACTCTTATGTTCCTTACCTATATGTGGAACCTAAAACAGTTTAACTCTGAGAAGCACAGTAGAAGAGTGATTACCAGGGGATCTGGGATGGGGAAATCGGGAGATATTGATCAGAGTACAAGCTTTCAGTTATAAGACGGTGACTTTAGTTAATAATTTTTTTTTACTTGAGATTTTATAAGAGAATGGATTTTAAGTGTCCCCAGTGCTCCCCACCCCAATGGTAACTGTGTGGTGCTGCATGTATTTGTAGTAATCATTACATGATTCATTTCAAATAATCACATAGTTCACCTTGAATATGTACGATTTTTATTTGTCAATTATACCTTTGTGAAGCTGGAAAAACCGAACTGCTTAATCTGTTTTCTGTTGCATATAACAGAATATGTAAAACTGGGTAATTTATAAGGAAAATAAATTTGTTACTTAATGTTATAGAGACTTTGAAGCCCAAGGTTGAAAGGCTGCATACGGTGCAGGTCTTCTTACTGGTGGGGATTCCTATAGAATCCCTAGGTTGTGTGGGGGCATCACATGGTGAGGGTGGTCAGTATGCTAGTCCAGCTCTCTCTTGTTTTTCTTTCTTTCTTTTTTTTTTTTTCTGGAGCTGGAGTCTTGCTCTGTCACCCAGGCTGGAGTGCAGTGGCGTGATCTCGGCTCACTACAACCTCTGCCTCCTGGGTTCAAGCGATTCTTTTGTCTCAGCCTCCTGAGTAGCTGGGATTACAGGCACATGCCACCAGGCCCAGCTGATTTTTGTATTTTCAATAGAGATAGGGTTTCACCAAGTTAGTCATCCGCCCACCTTGGCCTCCCAAAGTGCTGGGATTACAGGCATGAGGCACTGTGCCTGGCCTTCTTTTTCTTTTTAAGATTCCCACTCCCATGATAAACCATTAATCCATGCAGGGATTAACCCATTCATGAACTGTCATGACCCAGTCTCACCTCCTAAGGGCCCTACCTCTCAATACTGCCAAAGTGGGGATTAAGTTTCCACAAGAGTTTTGAAGGGAACAGATATTCAAACGATAAGCACAAACAAAAAACCCAAGACAAGAAAAAAAGGTAAGATAAAATTTTATCATCTTTCTTAGAATGCTGATCTCAGTGTGTCATAGTTAGATTCTGAGGTTTTACAGAAGCCTAGTTTTAATTGAATTAAATTAAATTGAATTTTGATTGAGAATCTGATTGAATTTTGCCTGGGAAATATCTTGCTGTTTTAATTTGAAGGAGTCTAGGAGAGGCAGCATGCGTTTACATAGGCCATTTGACTGTGAGTTGATCCTAACTGGTATGATCAGGTCGTACTAATTATGTTAAATATTTGTCTTAATTTTTGCTACTAGTGGAGCTATTGGCTGTATACAACTTGAAAAAAATTTAGTGTCACGTTGTTTTACTTGTTTATGAGAAGTAGATGAAAGTGTGAAAATTATTGCCTTGTGGAGTGTATAGTCTAGAATTTCATAGCTGACAGGTGCACCCATATGTCATATTTTTAGATGGGGAAACTAAAATTCAGTTAGATTAACTGATTTATCCAAAATTTGGCTAGTAGAAAAGCAGACTATTTGGACTTTTTGTGGAGCTCTTACTGCCTGCAATTTCTCTGCTTTTATTTTGATTGTTTAAAAATCTTTCATTCTGAAAGAGCTCTGATACCTGCCTGAATGCAAACAGAATTCTGTTCTAGGGGTTTTCTAGGTTTTGTTTGATTCCATCAAAGTAGAGACTTGTGTATTTCTCATGCTATAGACTATGAAGTAAGAGAGAGGCAAAATGGAAGCATGGTATGCAGTTGGAAGGGACCCTAAACACCCATTTAAGAAAAGGTTGTCTTGCTCCCCAGAGAGGTTAATCACTTTCCCAAGGTTCCTCCAGATTGTTGATGGCCAAACTGGCATTAGACCTTCAATAGTTTTTCCTCTATTCCCTGATTCCCTGTACAGTGTTCTTTTTATTATATTCTTTCCTTTCTTCCTTTCTCTCTCTTTTTTACAGCTTATTAAGATACATTTAGCATATCATAAAATTCATTTATTCAGAGTGTACAGTTCAGTGTTTTTTAATATATTTATAGAGTTGTGCAGCCAGCACACAATCTAGTTTTAGAATATTTTCTGCCAGGCATGGTGGCTCATGCCTGTAATCCCAGGACTTTGGGAGGCTGAGGTGGGCAGATCACCTGAGGTCAGGAGTTTGAGACCAGCCTGACCAACATGATGAAACCCCATCTCTACCAAAAATACGAAAATCAGCCAGGCATGGTGGCACATGCCTGTAATCCCAGCTACTTGGGGGGATGAGGCAGGAGAATCGCTTGAACCCAGGAGGCGGAGATTCAGTGAGCCGAGATCGCACCCCTGCACTCCAGCCTGGGTGACAGAGTGAGACTCAGTCTCAAAAAAAAAAAAAAAAAAAAGAATTTTTAAAAATATCTTAAAAATAAATTCCATATCCATTAGCTGTCATTCCCTATTTCCCCTTTCTCCTACCCCAGTGAACTACTGATCTACTTTCTGTGTCTGTGGATTTTTCTGTTCGGGACTTTTCATATGAATGGATATAGTTTGTGACTTTTGTGTCTGACTCCTTTCACTTAGCATAATGTTTTCAAGATTCATCATGTTGTAGCATGTATCAGTACTTTGTTAGTTTTTATGGCTGAACAATATTGTATTGAATGGATACACCACATCAGTTTCTAGGCATTTAGGTTGCGCTTTGTTTTGGGATATTGTGGCTAATGCCACTATAAATACTCATGTATAAGTTTTTGTATAGACATGTTTTCAGATTTTCTTGAGTATATATGATTAGAATTGCTGGGTTATGTGGTAACTCTTTAGCATTTTGAGAAACTGCCAAACTGTTTTCCACAGTGGCTGAGCCATTTTACATTCCCACAAGCAATGTGTGAGGGTTCCAATTTCTTTGCATCTTCACCAACACTTGTTATTGTCTTTTTGATTAGAATGGGTTTTAAATGGTATATCATTGTGATTTTCGTTTGCGTTTTCCTAATGACTAATGCTGTTGTACATCTTTTTATGTACTTATTGACAAATAGTTGTGTATTTTCTTTGAAGAAATGCCTATTTATACCCTTTGCCCATTTTTAATTGGGTTGTCTTTTTATTGTTTGTCTGTAAGAGTTCTTTATATATTGTATGCTCTATCTACTTGCATACACTGGATATGAGTCCCTTGTCAGCTGGGTATGACTTGCAGATACTTTTTCCCATTCTGAGGGCTTTTTACCTTCTTGATGGTGTCATTGGATGCTGCTGTTGCACTCTGATAGTCCACAACTAAGAGAAATCATCCTTCTGATCTTTCAGATATCTTCTTTGTTACTAACCCATGTCGGTGAAATATTTAAAAGGGTTTTTGCATTTCCTATTGTAAATAGTATTTTTGCATATGCTGTGGGACTAAGCATTTATAATGTCAAGATTACCAAAAGAGACACTGTTGCCTAATTTTCCATCTAATAGGCTCAACCATCTGAAATAAAACTTAGGTCCCATGGATATTCCTAGATTCTCCTGAGTGCTTCGGTGCCTTCTTGTTCATAATTTTGGCTAGTAGGTCTCTAGTGAAGAGGAGTTAGTTTTTGTTTATTTCTTGTGGAAGGCTCTTAAGGAAGCATGCGAAATTTGTCCGTTTTATTTACCATCATAGCTGTAAGAACCTTTATGAAACATACCATACACAGTCTTCTAATTGGAAAGACCAGATGTATTTAGAAAGCTCCAGCTGTGTTCTCAGCACTCTTCTGTGTCTCTCTCCAGCTGCTGACGCTTGAATTTGAATGACATGTATTCCAAAAAATTTTCATAAATGACAAATGCCTTTTTTCACAAATAATGGAAAAATGAATGTAACTACAAATGATTTTCTCTTTGTAATACATGATTTTGTTAGATGTTTAATTGCTGAAGTGAGAAGATTTTTTTTTTTTTTTGTCATTTCCCCCCTAAAGTCCCTTCCTGACAACCTCTCCTCTCCCTACACACCACTGTCAGACTTTAATGTTAGGACATCATCTTAAAGAACTGGTCCTTACCGATTCAGTCCCCACTGTGCAGTAAGCACTTCCTTGAGTTTGTTATAAATTTTGGCAGGAGTGGAAATCTAGGTCACCAGGGAACTCTTGATTAAATTACTCCTGAAGTGTACTAATTGGTCTTTTCCACAGTGCTTCAGAAGTTCCACGGAGACACTGGCCACTTGGCAAACTTTGCCCATTCAAATCTAGTCTCAGCTGGGTTTTCTTGAGTATTTTCTCACTTTTGCTTTTAAGAAGTCACCTGTTTTATCTCCTGCTCTTTATTGATTCTAGTTTCTGATGAAGAATTGAAAAGAAGAGTGGCTGAGGAGCTGGCATTGGAGCAAGCCAAGAAAGAATCTGAAGATCAGAAACGGTGAGTTTTGTGGTATCAGAGAGAGGTTTTGGTGGACTTTTCATATTTATCAAATATTTTTAGAGAAGTATGATGGTAATAAGCCTCATTATTTGTGTATGGCTGAACCTCAGAATGTGCTGAACACATGAACTTGGCCATTTTCGGGTTTAGATTGTGCCTCTTAGAGCCTTATGTTACCTGCTTCCCAAAATTGACTGTGAATTATCATGATATCTCTTGTATTGGTTGCTTGAATATGGAGCCCTGTTTTCTCAATATATGAGAAGGAGTTTTTGAGGATTCTCCAGGAACTTCCTAGTTGATCAGCGAATGTGTTCATGATTGAAAATTATATTGCCTGCTACAGGCACTAAAGTAAATATTTTGGTCATGATGAATATCATGTGTGATACATAGTGCCTGGATTAACAAATAGCACTAATTATTATTCTGTTAACTTAAAAACATTAGGATGTTACAGATATAAGTAAGGTTGGAAATAAAAATCCTGTTAACATCCTCTGAAGTTAACCCCTTTTTAACATTTTATTGCTTGAGATTTTTTCCTCTGCACACTCTTCCATCTTATTGTTGCCATTATTAATACTACTACTAACAACCCCTAAAAGAATGTTCACTGAAGTGTTTTTGTAACAGTAGAAAATTGGAAGCAATCCAAACTGACCATACTGGGAGACTGACCGAATGAATGACAGTACATGCCTGCAGTGGAATACTAGACCATCAGTTAAAGCCTTGTGTGCTGATTCAAAAAGATGTTGACGAGCTGTCAACTGAAATTTAAAAAAACCACCATAAATGGATTTTTTAAAAAGCATCGTTTTTTTAAAAAAATGCACCACTTTTTGAAGTTTGAGTATGTACTTATTCATAAAAAGATGGGAATACATTTTAATCTAAGATAAAGTGCTTCCCATCTGTACTATTTCTGGAGTTTTCATATAGCTTAGAGAATTATGCTTACATGATCATGTGAATGTCTTTTTACTGTGAGCACCAAACGCATGCTTGCCACCGAGCAGATGCTTAGTCTGTATTTGTTTTGTTTTGAACTGCCCGACCGACTATTTTGCCTGAGAGATCTGGAGGTAAGGGATCTTTAAATTGGACTGTAGTCCTCACTGGCCGTAGAAACTTCACTGTATAATTTAACCTCTTGGAGCCTTAAATATTTCATCTTTGAAATGAGGGTGATGAATAATTATTCTTTAATATTTCTTTTGACAAATTGCTAAGCTAACTCCCAGTTTGCACAAAATAGACAGAACAGAGTATGAATTTTAGATTAAGAACGCCATTTTCTCAGGAAATAGAGAAGGTTCATGGCTTACGATTTAAAAAAATCAAGATGTAATTGGTACTGCCAAAAAGGTCTGCGTATATTTCCACAGTTTTCCATGGAGTACTTTATAATTATTTAATTGGCTTAGGTTGATAGACTATATAATTAGATAGTGAAGTTTAAATATTCAAAAAAAATTTAGATTACTTTCATTAAGAAGCAAAGACAATATGGTAAAATGTCTTTGAAATTTTGTTATTTTTAATTGAGTTTTATTTTAATAGGGATTTTTTGGTTAGATTCTCATATTTACTTTGCTTATTATATTTCACATAGGATTTTTTTTTTGGTCTTCCCTTCTCTCCATATGGTGCAGGCTTTTTGTTAAAATAACTCTCACTGTAGTTTTTTTTTTTTCTCTTCATTATTCAGCTCCCATTTGCTCTGCTTTGGCTCATAAAAGGGAAAGGGCAGATGAGATGAATAAAAGGTGCCAGTAAAAGCCAATTTCATATCTCAGGTGGAATGGGGTTGGCAGCCTATCTATAACCTGGACCAATGACTATTGATAAAGAATTTATTTTCTGTCACCTTTAAGGAGAGCAGAGGGTGGCATAGCCTTTATATTATTTTTTTCTTTTTAAAAAATGTTTTGTTTGAAGCCTCCTTCATGAAAACTTCCAGCTGTCAAATCTTGGCAAAAAGAAGTGTGTGTTCATCTATATGATAGTTCTTAAAAGAATCAATAGCTATTTTTTTCTTTTTTTTTTTTCTACCAGAGAAGAAACTTCAGAAGTAGCATTAAGAAGGTTTTGTGTGCAGTCTTTTGGCAGCAACTTTTTGGAGTCACAGAGCATGTATACATTATTGTAGGTGTTGGCTAAATTGAATAGAGATTTGTAGGCAGTTTTAGAAAATGGCTCCTCTTACCTTTGTGCTGTTCCTCATATAGTATGTGCCCTGTACCAAGTTTTCTCTTCCTCCAAATGCACACAAACCTGTTGACCAGTTCTCAAGCACTTAATATCTGGACATAGGCATCCACATATGTTTTGAAGAAGCTTGTTCGACGAGGACTTTGGAATTAATTTCAATTGTGATATTTTCCTTTATAGACTATCTACTATCATGTAACCCTTTTTAAATGGACATTTTAAAGCAGTGAGAAAAATAGAGTATGGTGAATCCCTAAAACACATGCCGCAGTTTTAACAATTCTGGTTTCATCCATGCCTCTAGTCACTCTACCCATGTGGTGATTGGTGAGGAGAGGTGGTGTCATTTTTAACAGGCAGGTGAATTTTACGGCAGAGAAATATTCCAAAATGTCTTCTATCAGCATAGTTGAGATAAGCACTTTGTTTCCGTTAGATGTGTTTAGTTGGAAAATTGAAACTTAGCTCTGATTAGCATAGAAAGCAAGGAAATTTCTAGGAGCGTAAAGAATATATAGCTCAAAAGAAACAAAAGGAAGGCTAGAGAACCATTAGCAAGGGGAGAACTGGCTATTTCTAAAACTGTGCATAGTGAGGAAATAGTTCCCCAGCAGGAAATCGCGGGGAGCATTCCATGAGGAGGGAGAATGGATGCTGGGTGGCTAAATTTCATTGCATGCCACTGATTTTAAGATTTTGGTGTATTCGATGTACTCTATGAAAAATATTGCTGCCAGTTTTAACACAATACTTTTATCTCTCGGGATTTTCTTATTGAACAGTTCATTAACACTAATTTTGAATTTTTGAAAACATATATGTATATTTGTAAGAAGGAAAAAGTAAGCAAAATAAATTGATTAAGGCAGTGGTTCTCAGCTGGGAGAGCATTTGGTCCCCAGGGGACATTTGATGATGTTTGGAGACATTTTTGGTTGTCATAACTTGTCAAACGTTATTGGCATGTAGTGGATAGAGACCAGGGATGCTGCAAACATTCTGTAATGCACATGACAGTCCTCACTTACAGCCGCTACCCGCTAACTCCTGGCCATTCTTCCCTCACCAAAAAAAGAATTATTTGGCTCAAAATGTCAGTTGTACCAACAGCGAGAAACCAAGGGTTAAGGTATTCTTCAAACCCGCCCATGTTGGATTTAATTGTTGTGGATCACTTCTGGACTTATGGTTTGATGTCTTTGTTTTTCCACACAATATCATACTCTATGCCATCAAAACCTTGGTGACACAGCATTCCTTAAAGGATTGTTCCACTCTTGTTCCTGGAACTTTTCCAAGCTGCTGACATCAGTTCTGCAAATTTTGATGCTTAAATGCAAGCCATGACAACTGCAGTGGGACTGCCGCCTGGCAGACAGCAATTTTCACATGCTTTTAGGTTTGTGAAAACGTGGAAAAATATGTGTCCTAGAATTGATGAAATGCAGTCCGTATACACTCCAGACCACATAACATTTGTCAACTTGGAATGACTTCGCGAGTGTCTTGCTTTACCTTCTGCTTAATACAGAAACCTTTTTTCAGCATCTGTGACCGGTAGGGCCACACACATTTAGATTCCATTCCAAATCATTGAAACTGACGATATTTCATTAGGTCGTCTAAAATTTACCCCAGCCCCTTTAAGTCTCCACTCCTAAATCTAATGCAGAGGTGGCATACTTAAAAGTTGCCTTAGAGGAGGTTTCTTACTAAGTCCACAGTGACAATATGGTTACTAATTATAAGCACGATGACTATATATATTATATTTTCAGGTTTAGAAAACACTTAGATATGGACTCCTAATTCATTTTATCATAGATTTATCCTGTCTTATGGGGATCTTAAGTAATTTGCTTCCACAAATCATGTACCCACAAATCGCTGATATATTAGTCCACACACTAAAATTGTTAGGTTGAATTCGAAATCATGGTTTTGCTTATCAAAACATCTAGTAGACAGAATAGTTGCTCCGCCTACCCAGAATCCAGAGTAAATGCCTCTGTCAGCAGTCTGTTTTTGCTACGACACTCAACTTTGTGTTTGGGTTATAGCTGACCATATTGTGTTGTAACTATGTAGGCCAATATAGCAAGGGCATAATATACCACAGTTTGAGTACAGAATTTTAAATTATGATTTACTTCTTCCCGTGCCCTACTTCCAAAAGTCAGTCTTTGACAGCAAGAAAAATGTGACTACTTCTGACCTCTGACCTTTGGCATTTGAATTTCACCTCTTTACCTGTAAAGGCAAGTGAAAGTGTTTCAGTTTTAATAATTTTATTTTTAAGAAACCAAGAAGAAAGGGAATAGCTACTTGATGTTGGAACTAACTGTACATCAACCAAGATTACTTGCTTGCTGTTTTTAAATGGACGTTAGTTGAGATTTTCCCCTCACTTTTAGTTATTTGGAAAGTTACATTAGATTTGTGAGATCTAAAATAATCAATTTGGTTTAATAAGTGGTTTAATAAATTAGTCATAAATTTCATTAGCCATCTGGGTTAGAGTATAGTGTAGTTTATTTATTTTTCCATTGATAGCATTATTGATATCATCAAATAAGGGCTTAAAATTTATTTGTACCTTTTAGTTTCTCATAGTATTGGTGAAATTTAGAGGGATGGTACCATCTGTTTAAGTTCATTATATATGATAATTTAGCTTGATTTTATTATTACATATGTTCTGTCTCTGAAAAAAGCAGAAAGAAAAAGGCAAAAGAAAAAGCAGAAAAAAGGAGGAGGAAAGAGTCCTGAAACAGACAGTT